ACGGGGCTCTTCTCAATGGTCCTTTACCAAACGCGATTAAATTCAAACGCATGTATTTCTTTCTTTTTTTTCTCCCACGCTCATACGTATTACACATACGTACATGCTTACGCTCTCTTTCACGCATACTTTCACACTAAAGTTTTTTTTTTTTACACGCATGCACGCACGTATCGGCTGAACTTTCAACTACTAATATCGCTTTGTTATTTTTTTGTATGCTTTTTTTTATTTATTTTATTTTATAACTGCTTCATTTTTCTAAGTTCTTTATATCTTTTATTTTTTTTGTTTATTTATTTTTTATGTTTAAAGATTAATCACTCACTCTCTCTCTCTCTCTCTCTCTCTTTCTTATTTTCTTTTTCTCGAAATATTTGTTATTCGCACTTTTTTCAATTTTACAATCTTAGGCATTAACGTCGATAAATAGCGGAGCATTGCGATGTAAATCGTTGGCTAATCGGCATACATCGAATTTTCTTTTTAATCTCTTTCTCTCTCTCTCTTTTTTTACTTATTTTTTTCTACTTTTCTATTTTTTATTAATTGTCGAAGAAGAAAAAAAACATAAAAGGAAAAAGAGAAAGAGAGAAAGATTAAGAACGTTATTATAATTCGAACCGTTAAACGTGAACATTTTGATGAGTAAATATTTTCGTTTCGATGCTCGAATCTCGAGAATGATGGATAAGTTATCGTGGAAGACGAAACTAACGTGATTATTAATGCGGGAAGATCTGCGGTTTTCGCTACGACTTGCGATCGATCGATCCTTGTCTCTCTTTCTTTCGCTCTCTCTCTCTCTCTCTCTCTCTCTCTTTAAGAACGTGCGATAGAGCAGGATTATCAGACCTTTGCTGATTTGAATTTCCTTGTTAGGCACAACTGATGGGGAAATGTCTTATGCAATCCTTATCACGAAATGTCTTCGTTTTGCACTTATTTTTTTTATTTTTTGTTTTGCAAAATTTCTCCATCATTTATAACAATCACCAAATATTTTAGAAAATTATATTTAAAAATTAATTTATAAGTAAACATAATATATATCGAATTTTAAATCAAAATTTATTTATCTTAGCTAAATGAGAATGGTTTTATTTTAAAATAAAAGTTGATTGATTTTAAGTTAAATATTTTAATGTTTAAATAATATATTAATTCAATTATTAACTTTTTGATTAGTAAGAACAAGACATTTCTGAAGGTTGTACCTAAAAAGGTTTACGTAAATGCTGCTAATTTTTAAGGTACGACGAATAGCACTCTTAGCCATTTATTTATTTTTTTACATCTGTATTTTTAATAACTTTTCAGTTAACAAAATCGAAAAGAACGACACGTATAACGATTTAACATTATAACAATTCGATCTACGCGGCGCTCTTTCTTTTTAAATTTGTCTTTTCGCGAATATACACATACGTACACGTACACGCACTCATTTGTTAGATTTTTTTTTTATAAACATTTTCATCTCCTTCTTAATTTTTTACTAAAAGAAACACGACGATAAGCATACATTTTTATTTTGTTATGCAGTAATTTTATTTTTATTGTAATCCAGAACAAATTCCATCCAGCAGAAATTTTCTGGTAACCCTAAATGCGATATGATAAACATCAACAAGATTTTCCTGTTTATTCGACTTCACGTTTGTCTATGATTCGATTTCATTCCTATATCCAATGCAAAGTTTGCAAGAGATATCTGCTTTCTAAGAAACAATTTACTTTTGTCTTCAATCTTACAAAATATGCCACGCTCCTGGCAATGTTTCTGATTTCTATTCAAAAACTTTCCTATTTTCTTCCTAACTCTTCAAATTGTCCGTTCCATATTCGTTGTGATAACATTACAGGAAAAACAATAAATAAAATTTCGATTGCATATAATTAGTGAACATGTCGTATCTATTTTTAGACGCGGACAAGTTTTTGAATTAGATGTTAAGCGTATATCTTACAGATAACTTTAATCATTATGATTTTAAAAGATATCTTATAACCAAATTATTATTAATTAAGATAACAAGTATATTTGCCACGGTAAAATAATTTTTTATTGTTTATATTTATTTAAAAAAACTTTATCAAGTTGGAGAAAAAAAATATTTTGTTTGTACGCATGTATATCACGAGAAAAATAAATATAATACAAATGCGACGTTTAAAGATTCAATTCTATCTACGAGTAAGATCAATTTTCACGGGTCTATTTTTAGTGTCATTAAAAAGAAAAATTTCAATATCAGAGACGTATAACATTCGATGCCATTTTCACGTTGGACTACATTGCTGCTCGTGTTATTTCAACTACTACGAAAACTCAAAGATAAAAGAGAGCCCAAATTGTGAAAGAGATAAATATTAATACGCTAGCTAACTACAGTGAATAGGAAAAACGAGTTTCGTTTCCAAGTAGGTATATCGCGAATTTTATCTCGGAGACTTAAAACTAAAAAAAATTGAAAGAAAATAAAATATAGAAAACAATCGTCAAAAAGCAGTAAAAATAAAGAAAAAAAAAGAAAAAAAAGCATTTAATGATACGAAAAAGTAATTATCTTCACGTAACCTCGAGCTTTAGAAGGAAAATATCCTCGTTATCAAATTCTAACGGCTTTTATTTTTTCCTTTCTTTTGTTATTTTTTTTACTTAATTATTTTCTCATTTTTCATAAAATGAGTCTCATTATATTAAATCTTTTTTCATCTTGTACATTTCATCTTTAAATCAGAGACACACATACAAGATTTTAATTTATTTCGTTCTTAAATCTTATTTTTCCTTAAATTGTTGAAATTTAATAAAAATAATCATGATTGTTAACATAAAAACACTGCTCGAAGGACACACGAATCAAATGAGAGCAAGTAAAAAGAAACATTATTTTAATTAAATAAAATCTTACCATATCAATATGATCTAAAAAAAGAATAAATCTTTTCCCTTGTCTCCAATTAACACTATTTAAAAGATTTAAAAAATCAACAAACAAAAACAAGGAAGTCAATAATTTAATCGTCATTCGAATAGAATGAGACTCGTTTAATTTACAAATTTAACTCTCTGCCAGCTTCCGCTAGCAAAATTAACTTTTCGAGACACACACTCTCGACTTTCTAACGAGAAGAATCAAACTAAGTTTTGGAGTGGGAAGGGGAATGAAGAAGAGGAGAAGGAGAAGGAGGAGGAGGAGGAGGAGGAGGAGAAAGGGTGTGTTTGGAACGAACGGAGAACCCTTGAACTCTATGGGAGTTCTTCCTCGTAAATTTATTACAAATACAGTGAGTTCAAACTCGGTCTTCTTACCATCTTCTCCCTTTCTCTCTCTCTCTCTCTCTCTCTCTCTCTTTCATTTCAAGTCTTTGTCTATCTCTTTCACGATCGGTCGCGATATATTCGAAAGCAAATTCGAAGTTGACACTTCGATCTCTCTCTCTTTCTCCCTCTCTCTTTCTATTCACTCTTAGAATTCATTAGTTTCTCATAGTTCCCCAATTTCCTCTTCTAATTCTATAATACAATACTTGTATATGCGTGTACGTGCGTACGTGCGTACGTGTATACGTGCTTGTCTGTACACTACCCGTCGAAAGTTTGGGTACACCTACTTGCATTTGCATTACACATTTATGTACAATCATTGTTCAATGTCAAGAGAAAATTTATGGGATTTTCTAAAAGAGATCATTGAAAAGATTTGCAAAGGATATATTATATAAGCTAAATTTCTATCATTTTATATGGCAGTCAAATAATTTTGACCGATATGGTATACCATGCGTGAGTTAAAAAGTATTCAGGCTAACATTTCAAATTATTTTCTTTCGTCGGTCAATCCAACTTTTAATTTTTCAATACAATCTTCAAACTTTTCAACCCACCCTCGTATGTAAAAAAGAAATCAATAATTTCAAAAACATATAATTTGCAATAATTTCAATATACTTCATATACGAAAGTACGCGTGCTCAAACTTTTTATCGGTAGTGTATGTGTGTCTAATCTATAGAGATGTATGTTACATGATGGAATAAAGGATAGATAAATAGTGAGTATGTATGTGTGTGTGTACAGATATAGCAATTTTAAACAGTATGTACTTTTAAAGTGATGCTTTTAAAGCCCTCTTAATGCGTTTTAAAGACGGGAGTAATTGGAACAATGCGTCTTTCTCTTCCCATCTCTTTCTCTCGCATGCACACAGAGAATTTACGCTCGCCATCTTTCTCTCTCTCTCTCTCTCTCTCTCTCTCTCTCTCTCTCTCTCTCTCTCTTTTTCTTCTTTTTGTTTATTTTTACGGTTAAACGATTTAGATCAGTAAAGATCGCACCACTGATTGTTGGTTTAGCCTAGAGTTGGAATTGTTAAAAAGGGGGCTAAATCGTTTGCCACAACCGAAAAAAAAGTAGTAAAACAAGATGTCAACGTTGATCACGATTAAATACGAGATTCTCCTACCGTACGTTTAATTAAATGTGTATACAAGTATGTTAGTAGCTACGTTCTTGTAGAAATGTATTTATGTATGTATGTGTGTGTGTGTGTTTATATGCGTATTCATGGTTTTTGGCCATGTTCCAAGTGTGACCTTTAACCCTAGAATATATGTTATATACACGAGATATAATACATTGCTATTCAACTGGAAAAACAAGAGGGTTCTAAGGAAGAAAAAGTGAATGTCTACTGTTTTGTGGGGGGTCTCTTCTGTGTGCGCTTATTATGAATAAATCTGACGAGAAGGTGATAAAAGATGGATACTAATTGTAAATGATAAACTCAATTATTTCTTGGTAAATTAAAGGTAGGATAATTGTTAATCTTCAATGATCAATTAACTTTGATTAAAGGAAACTGAAGTTGGAAAGAAGAAAGATTGAAAATAAATGAAAGAGAGGTAAGAGTTTCCGTATTTTCTATTATTCCTTTTCAGACTTGTGTTTGTAAGAGAGTGAGAGAAAGAGAGAGAGAGAGAGAGGGGGAGAAAGAGAGAGGGGGGGGGAGAGAGGGGGAGGAGAAAGATAGAGAAAAAAAGAAAGAAAGAAAGACAGAAAAGATGAAAAGTTCTTCCTTTAAGAGAGTAGTACCAATGATATTATAATCTGTGTAGTGTCGTGGTGGTAGCGATGGTAATAAATGGTTTAGTATAGTGGCGGTAACGCGGGAAAGGAAATTAAATCCAATGTCAGCGTGTCACCCTGGAGCTACCACAGAGCATTCTCTTGAAACCTTGCCTGAATTCGGGTGAAAATACGGTGTAGATGACAGGATTGAGTGTACTGTTGAAATAGCCAAGCCAAAGGAAGACATTGTAGACTACGTTGGGTATCTCGCAGATGGAACAAATCACACGTAAAAGCGTTAAAAGGAAAAACGGTAGCCAACAGGCGACGAAGGCACCGGTGATGATTGCCAATGTCTTAGCTGCTTTCTTTTCACGCTTCGATTCGATCGTCTCACGATTCCTTTTCGTCGATGTTGCTTGACGTACCGTAGTTGAAGTTGCCGAAGAACTTGGCCCACTCGTTGACGAAGTTGTCGTCGTCGTTGTTGTCATCGTCGTTGTCGTTGTTGTTGTTGTTATTGTTGCTGCTGCCGCTGCTGCTGCTGCTGCTGCTGCTGCTACCGCTGCTGCTGCTCCACTCATCTGAGTCGTTGAATTCGACGAATTCGCTGCAGTATTGCTTGTTACCGTTGCGTTTCCACCTGCTGATTGGACTACGTTCCCATCGTTATACGACGATGATTTTTCCGGGGAAATTGACGAATGATCCGGTGTCGAACGTGTTATTGTGAACGCCGTTGATTCCTCCCTTTGCCTGCTTATTTCAATTAACACAAATACAAGAAAAAAACTTAATATTTCTTGCCATTAGTAGTTTATATTACTTTTATGATTTCTACCTCCATAAATTTAATTTCATTTACTTTGAAATTATATTTTTTAAAATCAAATAAGTGAATTGGTTTTGTTTGCGATTCAACTTTTTTTTTTTTTATCAAGCTTCAACAATTATTTAAATTTATTTGTGTACGGGGGTGAATCAATTGAAATTTAAAATATTAAAAACTTAGACAAACTGGGAAAATATATTAATAGTAATTAAAATTAAAATTATTATGATTTTATTATTTAACGATTATATATAACGAATATTTGTATTCGTCAATTTTCAAAGCTTCCGATTGCTTTTCTTTTTTCTTTCTCTCTCTTCATTCATTTCATTCTTTCAGTTTTTTCGATTAAAAAGTTGAAGAGAGAGAAAAAAAGAGGGGGATAACAAGGAGCAGGGAGTCACTCGTGGAAACAAATTAAACTAGACTAGCTCTTTCAAATTGATGAAACTACTGTGTCGATTCAAAGGATTCAAAGCGCAACAGGAATCCGTCTCGATTTTCAACGATGAGGTAAAAAAGTGCGCACGCAGGTTCGCATTTGTCCATTTTACCCATTTTTTAGTGTTCTTATCCCTTGTTTTTTTTATACATATTTTTTGGTACTTCTTCTAATTAAATTTCCTTATCACTGTAATCCAACTGTGTAATTCTAATAGCTTTTCATCATCTTCATAGATAAAAAACGATCCTCGGATTTTTGGTTTTTATACACAGAAAAACAAACGTATATCTTATCATTATACATAATTGAACATTTTGTAAGTTAATTTTTTAAATATTTTACCTAGTTAATACATTGAAAAAATTTGTGTTTATTTGTTTTAATTGAATTAAATTTTGTATTTGATTATAATATTGCAAATTCTTTGCTTAACAATTGGGAATGTTTTAGAATTCGACTAATTATTCGATAGCGAGATATTCACTTACATGTAAAACGGAGATGATGAAATCGCGGTGAAAACGCTTCACGTTACGCTTTGATCAAGTTTAACACGATTTGCAAATAAACGAGCTATAATTTTGCTCCGTAGATTAATTAAATTTGAACGATTAACGCGCAAATATTAGGAACAAAGAGTCAGGACAATTGAACAATTAAATCAAGGTTGTTTGTCATTCTCCCAGTTTTATGCCGGCTGTAAATTTAGTTGGAATTTTTGACCGATTTTTATGAGAACAAATCTTATCCTAACATTGAAAGTTTAATTCAGGAAATAGTTTTTTATGGAATTTAAAAAATAAATTTTTATATTCGTTGAAAAAAATTTTACTTTTTTATAAGGATTAATAATTCTTTGAGTCTCTCATCAATTATTGTAGATTACAGAATTTGTAAGTGCATAAATATAAAATAAAAAAAAATTAGAAATACAAGAATCCCTCGATTTATTATTTGAACAGATTACTGTTTTGTACAGATTTGTATTACATTTGTAATACATTTGTATTAATAAATAAAATATTGTTGCTGCAACTACTCAGGTTCTGACCAATCGAAAGATACCAATTTAGTCATTTAGTTCGTCAAATGTAATAATAATACTTACGTGGAACTACAGATAAATAGATTCGATGGAAAATTAAAGTAAAATGTTTAAAGTTAGATGCTGAGTGGAACACGTCGATTGAATTCTAAGCTATTTCCTGAAAAGCACATCAAGTAGAAACTTGAAAAGAAGGAATATCAACTTTCTACAGTTAGATTTTTAGAAATAATTCAACAATTTTGTCATTTTATTTCGTAAAATCGAATATCGTCGAAAAATAAAATCGAAATCAATCAAATTGTTAGACGTACCGCGAATATTGATAGTTTGTTAAAAAGAAATTATTCGAACGATAAAAAAATAATGGTTAATATTTACTTTTTATTATTTTTCGAAAAAAAAAAGGAAAAAAATGGAAAGGAAAGACTATTCGGAAATAACGATTGGTGGCTGTCGGACTGTGGCACAAAACAAAATGACCTTTTATCAAAATTGAAAGCACTTCTAGATCGTTCAATCATTTTGTTGTTGTTGCAAACGATTCAATTTTTGTCCTTTTTATTTTTAAATAGAGAAACCGAATTCGACGGGATATTTTGATCCCACAGAAGGATTGATTCACAGAAGGATCGATTTGCAATACGAAATGACACTTCGATCTTACGGATGGATCGATTTGATTCTACTTTTTACTGTTGTTGATGATCTATATCGTACGAATTCAACCGATCGCGTGTTATCTCGATCTCGATAAAAATAATTCGAAACGTTCGTTTTTATCTTCCGACAGAGAGTGTTTTTTTTTCCTCACTAGAAAAATACAATCGGAAATTGTTGGATTTTCCCGAACGGCTGGTTGGTTGTTTGGTTGATTGGCTGACTTGTAGACTGTTGGCTCAAATGGATCGTACGATCGGATAATTTAAACTAAATAGTTTAAGGGTTAAAGTGTAAGATAGATTAAAAGGAAAGGATGGTTACCTTTTCGTTACGTAACGTAGGATTCCTCTTCTTTCGCGAGGAGGTTGAACGATTGTTCCTGGCCTCTTTCTGATACGTTTCCGAGCTGCTTGAAATATCCTCCAGTAAAGAAACAAAATCACCAGACAGGGTAGATAAAATGTTGCGCATGTTGCAAGAATCTGAAACAAATACAAGATACAAATATAATATATATTTGATTACACAACAAATATTATATTCATATAATTTATGTAAAAATGAAAATAAAATATACAAAACATACCTAATTGATGTATTAACGATATTCCATTTATTTCATATTAAAATTATTTATATTTAAAAATAAATCGTAAAATAAATTTGTATTATTTTTTCACTACAAATCACTATCATAATTATCGGTACAATTATCAAATTAATTTCTTTTATCCACCTTATCTATAATTTCTATCTTTTTTTTTTATTAATCTTTCGTTATAAAAATAAAATGTATAAATTACGCATACCAATTAAAATAATTTTTTAAAACATTATTTCATACTTTTTTAATTGTCATGTAGAGAAAAAAAGATATGTAAAGAGCCCTATCGTGTTGACATATGATTTAAATTACATCGAAGTACACAGACAAGGAGAACGATATATAGTTATGTTACTGTGAGTATTAGAACTAAGTACTCTATGAAAAAGTAACATTACTCCGTTTAAAAACCACATTTTCTTTTTTCTACGTTTTTTAATACTTTATTTTGTTCCCTCTCTCTCTCTCTCTCTCTCTCTCCGTCTTTCCTTCTCTGTTTTTCTTGTTCAAAGTAGGGAAAATATCTACCTTTAAAGATCGCAATCCGATTGTAATCTGATCGTTTAGTTCGACTCTTATTCACCGAAAAGAACTGCCCTACCGCAAACGATGCCAGACTCTGAGGATCGATCGATCCTTGGAACAACGATAAAAGACACCTGCCTTGACTGCCTTTTTTGTTGGTGTTCCAGTGATGAAATAGAAAGAGAGAAAGAGAGAGAGAGAGAGAGAGAGAGAGAGAGAGAGAAAGAGGAAATGAAAAAAGACTGGGAGCGTTTTTCAAGGGTCCTTCTATCTCATCGTTGCATCCTCTCACGAGAAAGGATACTTACCACGCCCATTAAATTTCTCTGTTTCTCTTCGCACTCTGTCCTTCCTATTTATACACTTTTAAGCTAATGACCATTTCCTTAAGGAAATAGTTTTTTTAGGTATTTATATTACCTTTTAGTTAATAAACGCCACTGTAGTGGCTATCGTGTATGCTATCTTTTTGAACGGTATGCTATTAAAGTATAAGAAAAAAACTTTGTGAAACTGTATAGTGTGCTCGAAAAATGATGTAATAATGTGTTTTATAACTCTATTTCGATCTAATGTCATAGCAAGATATCTTATATATAGTTTATTCGCAGTCGTAATTAAAAGTTTAAAAACAAAGAAAATGTTTAGGTGGCGTCATTCAGTTTGGGGGACACTCTGTATAATTTATTTTTATTTATTAAAGATGTGATAAGTTAATGAATAATATTATTTTCATTTATTCACTAGTTTCTTTAATCTAATTAATGAAAAATTAATTAATTAAAATTGTGGATAATACAATCTGAGGCTGAAGTTGCTTATAAATTATTTGTTACTTTTTAAAAGAATTATATAAATGATTGCATCATTGATTAAATTAATTCTATTCATTCTAATTGCATTTTAATCATAATTAATGTTATTTGCTTAAGCGAATAAAATTGTAAGTAATATTACTTCTTGTTGAACAATTTATTTCGATAAAAACTAGAAGGAATATAACCATGTTAAGAATTTTTAACTTTTAACGTGAATAATTTTTCATATATTGACGTAATGTTTTGCGTTCTATAGGATGATTATTTATAGGCAGATAAACTGTGTATGTTTTACTTTCGAAGATCATTAATTATTAGAAAAGAAATAAGGGAAAAGAAAAAAAAGGTACAGAAAACAGGCTTGGTTTGAAAAATACACAATTTATGTGGTCAGTACGTGCAACGGACAAGAAAAATTCGATATGGATGCGTTCTTTATTTTCTATTTTTTTTCTTTCCTCGCCATCACCTCCTCCCCTTTATTTCTTATTTTTTTTTTTTTTCATCGTTTAGCAGCAAGCTTTTCATTCATTTCAGAATATTAACTGCAGTTAGTGCAAGAGTTTTTAAAACCGAGAACGGTAAGGAAAAAGATGGGGTGGAATGGGGTAGATAATGGTAAAAAAACAAGAAAAAAATATTACGATGTTGCAACGATCAACTGTGTTCGTGAGAAAAAAGAAATAAGCTACTTATGTTTTCTTTAATTTTCTATTTTTCTTTTCCTCTGCATTTTTTTATTTTGTTTTCATGTTTTTATTAAGTACGAAGTAAATTTGCATAAGTTCTTCGTTTATGGCGGTAGTATCTAAGCGTTTATAATTGGCGAAATGTTTTAAAAAATTGCTGACTTGTGGGTCACGAAAGAAGGAGAGAGAGTGTGTGCAATAATATTATCGATATTCTTGTAGCTACATGCCTACAGAAAATAGAGGTACCGAATAGGGGATGAAAAATAATAAGAAGAAGAGGAAAAAAAAGGAAACGAGGAGAAATGTAGAAGTATGAAAACGTGGCAAGTGTAGTTCGTATGAATACAGATTTGGTTATTTAAGGGTATAATATTTATGCAACTTAAAAATATATATA